ACCTGAACTGTCTCCTGGCAGCTCAGGCCAACTCTAATTAAATAAAATTATTGTAATATCTAACATTAACTTGCCTTCGTAGGCACTCCCTCAGCGGCACTTAGCCGCCTGCGCCCTCTTTTCCCAAAAAAGGGTCGCTCATGATAAGGCACAACTTAACTATGAAGAAACAGAACTGCTTTTTCGCTAAACACACACGCACACACACACACACACACACACACACGCGCGCGCACGCGCACGCGCCACACACACACACACACACACATACACACACACTTTCACTCTTTCTTAAGTATCAAAAATGTCATCAATTCATGTCTTAAGGATTGTTAAAGCACTAATATAATATGTAATATCCTATGTTTCAAATTGTTAAAATTTATCTGTTGGAAGAGCGGGGTACCCCGTAACACAGGTTTTACCAACCCAGTACAAGGGGCCCTTGCCACTTGTTTGTTACTACCTTTTGAAACGCAATAAACAATTTTTAATTTTTAATTTAATTTAATTTTTAAGTGTAAAGTCAATATAAGAAAACAATATTCTGGCGAACTTAACAGGAAGTTACACACTAAGTCAGGAAGTACTTTTATGAACTTTCAAGCTTGTAATATGTGTATGACATCCACATAATAAATGAGGCGCTATATGAGGGATGATTCTTTTAAACTTACAGCACACAGCGTTTATTGTTGGCATCGCGAAAGATTAACTCATTATTTCTCATTATTACGTACTGATGATGACAATAATGATATTGATGATGATAAGCACACTAGCATTAGTAAGTATAAAGCCATGCTGTTTAGCATGAATAGATTGAAATTTATATGAGATCAATGTAGTAGTAGCTTAATCAGCCGGTTGCCTGTCCCCAAAGGCGGTTTTTAGGGGGTATCACTTAGGGTCCCCGGTAGGACAGTGAGTCCCCCATAACCACGATAGACCGGCTATCGTGGTATGCGTAATGCATTTTCCGCCTCCCTACGTATAGGGTAGCCCTTTAATTGCTTCGGGCGCAAAAAAAAAAAAAAAACTCGCCGCTCACTTAGCGGTCAGCCGCCGTAGAGTCTATATTACCTGATGATGCCTCGTGTAGAGGCGAAACACGTGTCGTATTATCGTCGATGGTGTGTCTTGCCTGGAATAGTGGTGTTGAGAGTAGTGGTGCTAGGTCTAGTGGTGACGGAGTTAGTGTATGCAATTGAGGGAGGACGGGAGGTGCGCTTCAATCCAGGTAAGACACATCATTTTATATGTTTAGCGGAAAGTTGCAAAGAAATTTATATTTTTATTTTTTATTATAATGGATTTCCGCAAAGTAACGCCTGATTCTATCAATTATCTTAAAGTTCTTTTTTATTTTATTTAAATTTCGGCCATCTCATTTCACAAGGACAAACATCCAGACCCGGAACAATTACTTGTAGGCTATCCAAAAACTTGTTCGGTGCGGGATTCGAACTCGCGGCCCTTAGCTCTGTAACTCATTGCTTAGCCACTGCACCACGAAGCCGTCACGAAATTGTTGTTTTCTCATTAGTTCTTAAAACTTCTGCAAAATTACAGATTTGAAAGCTGTATTAAAAAAAATCTATTATATTCACTCATTTATACAAACATAGGTACATATATATATATATATATATATATACATACATACATACACACCAACAATCATACATAAAGACATAAAATACTGAATTATTAAAATATTATAAGGAGACTGTAAAATATTTCAAAATTTAAATATTAAGAAAACAGCAGATCTATGGGGAATTTCCGTTAAAAGTATTGCGTCTATAATAGATAAAATCGCGCCCCAACATGTTATCCTATACCTTTAAACGAGCAATTCTTGTATATATATATAATCGGAATCTCGGAAACGGCTCCAACGATTTTCATAAAATTTTGTGTGCAGGGAGTTTCGGGGGGCAATAAATCGATCTAGCTAGGATTTATTTTTAGAAAATGTCTTTTTGTCCGTGTTTTAGGCAATGAAAAAATGCTACAATATCGTTAGAATAAGAAGGTAAATTTTGACAGTTTATTTATTATTACAAATAGCTTAATTGGTATATTGGGCGGTCACAAAATCGTAATACCATGGTTCGAGTCCAGACCGACCGACCGACTTTTTTAATTTTTTTTTTCAAGTTCCTTTCTTTTTTGAGAAAATCTATTTTTTCGAGCCGTTTTTTTAGTATTTTTTAAAAACACGAAAATTTAAATTAAACTAATTGCACTCATGATTTTTTATTCAAATAACCAGTTCAGTTTTTTCTATTATGTCGCTAAGATCAAAAAATATTATTCGTATTTCATCAATATGTAATTTGTATCTAAATACAATTTCCAAAACACACGAATAAAAAAAACCGAGTGAAAAATACCGAGCAAAGCTCGGTCAACCGGGTACTTATTTTTAACAGTGCCACTCTCAGACTGATATGCCAGATATCATCGGAATAGTGTCGGATCGTTACTCAAACTTGCGTGTGGATCCAACGATGTGTACAGCTGCCCATAGAACCTCTCAATCTCACTCAAAATCCCAGGTGTCCCGGAAACGATGCTGCCACACTCAGTCTTCACCTTTGACAGTTAGCTCTTTCTGACAGACAGATCTCTGGCAAAAACTTTTGACGTGGTAGCGATTTGCGTTCTTGAATTTTGGCGATTTGAATTAATCCGAACAATTCCTCAGAGAACTCCTCGTGTTAGATGTGATAGAAAATGCAAAACGATGTAATATTCCTGAGCTGGAGCTGTCACTGAGACCGAATTTGCGCTTTGTAAAGTTGCTAGTCATGTGCCAACGTGAAATACTGTCCAGCTCTGATGAGCACGTCAAGATTTTACACGCCAATTTGGCTTTCCCTTCCTGTGATCATGAAACTGCACACTATTCGACATCTCGACACCGAATATTCCGATGTAAGCTGAGGTAGCAAAAGGAGTGCTTTGAAGCTCGGCTTCAGTCACAACCTTGTTCCGCTACTCGGCGGCGTTTTCTCGAGAAATATTGGCACGGTCGGTGTATAAAGCATCACCAGTGCTGTCGTCCGCATAGCAACTAATTTTAACAGTATGCAACATATCATCGAAATTGTAACGCTCCCCCCCCCTCCCCCTTATTTCCCCACTTTTATAACTAGCTATGTCTATATATTTTATAATTATATTTTGTTTAAGGTGACCGTCTATAAAATATAAAAGTAACGTGGCCAGAATAAACAAATATATTTTGATTTTTCCCAATTAACTTATTTAAATATGTAGTAATAGGTTGTTTGTAATATTTATGGCATGATATTTTTAGGTAGGACCCTTATTTACGTTGTGTTTGTTTAGTAACTTAGTTATTTTAGGTATTATTTGGAAGAATTAATTATCACTAGAGCAACTGAAGGCCATTTGTATTGCCTTATATTATTTTAAGCTAGGGGAACCCCGTTTACGAAGATAGGGCTCGAAGAAGGTTAAGAACATTCAATTAACCCTATTCCACTTGTATCAGGCTTACATTAATCAATTTCTTATTGATTAATCTCTTCCCGCTTGGAAAAGGCTTACAATATTTATATAAAAAATAACCGATACAAGGGTTTCGCTCTCCCACATTTAAAAAAATGTAGGGGAGGCACATGGCGTGTGTGGAGCCAACTAATTAACGCGTTCCCCCCGAAGGGGATGTTAAGTTTGGAACTTGACCGTAATCCACAGCAAAATAACTTATGCAGCAGTTAGAGAACTTGGCCCCTTTGTAGTGCGTAAGCACAAACATCGACCAAAGTGGCGCATGTCAATGCATGTAAACGCCATACAGAATACGATCAAATCCAGCCACAGTGAATGTACATCACACGGTTTTCATTTGCCTGTTTTCGTAAAGTTGGTCGTTGGTCTTGCACCTGATCTCTCTTGATTTGACATTTAATAGAAATCAATTAAAAGAACTGAAAACTTTTGTTAAGATAACTAAGTTCATTAATTGCTTCAGTCATTTGTAATCGTTTTGATGAAGCTTCTATCCGTTTTTTATTTTAATTATAAACGTTGTAACTCTATAAATGTATATTATATTTAGTTTTTTTTAAATGTTTAGAGTAAATGAATAATGCACATTTGGTTCACAATAGCAAACGCTGAGATACATAATAGATAAACACAAAACAAAACATTGCGACGACCAAAGCGCGTCCTTTCTAAAAAAAAGTAGGAGAGTTTTGTTCTGTAGAAGGGTCATTACCAGGCGACTCATTATTTGGTTGATTTCGGTGGCATTTTTGTTTTTAAATTTGGGCCTTACTAACATGAAATATCTATTCTAGAATTAATTTAATATATATGAGTAGAAGAGGGAATCGTATAGACCGAATAGTTAAGAAGGTATTTAATTTTAAAAAAATGGTGTCCACCGAAATCAATATTTTAATCACCGAAATCAAATAAATATAAAATAATTTGTATCAAAGATAATTTTCTTAAGGTTAATTTACTGCCTACTTGATAACTTCTATGAACTTATGATCTGTAAAGAATTGCAGGTTAATTCGACAACAAAAAAATTTATGTTATCAAGACATGTGTAACCATTTTTATTAATTTTTGTGAAAACTTACAAAAATCAACGTTAGTAGAAAGCTTTAAATTATTATATTAAATGTCATTAAAGATAGTAGTCTTAAACTAACATTATAGGAACTTAAAAAAAATCAGCATTCTTGGTCGAGATCTAGCTTAATCACAGTCAATTTACTTATTGAAAAAAATTACTACAAAATCACTTAAAAATCAATCCTTTAAACAACATCAACAATTGTAGAAGGCACTTACATAACTAATAGTATTTTTATTTTTAATAAAAATATTACTTTTTCTTTTGATTTTAAGACAATTAAACAAGCTTTAGGTATAATAATCACCCAGCATTAAATTATCAATGTAATAAACTTCTCATAAAACTTTGTATTACAGTTTTCAATCCTTAATTAAAAAATGTTATATTCCTCGTCACTACTTTCTTTACAATATACAATTTTGGAGACTACTTCATTCATTAATGTCGGAGCAATATTTTCACAATCTGTCGAAACACGTGTCCAGAAGCTGTCACTTTCATGTAATCCAATGTCTGAAGGTAAGGTATGGGACAGGCGCTGTTTGGTTTCATAGAACTCATCAGCAAGATCAACAGAATAGCTACAACCAGGTTGAATTAGAATATTCGATAAAATTTGAGGCTTATTAGATTCAGTTGCACTGGCTCTACTCCCATTTTTGGCTTGACTTGACTTTTTAATCAGATTGATCTTGTCACTCTTGTTCTTGTTCGTTCTATCAGTCAACAGTCTATCAGCTTGCTCGCCTATGATGTATAATCCTACATGATACCCATGTTCACATGACACAGAATTATTTTTACATTCACCTTCGGCGCAACTCATTTTTCTCATCGATAGTTGGTTGGGCTTATTAGCGTTCCATACTGCTTGATGTACTTTCATAGTCCCTGCAAATTGCTTGAGATTGGATGGAATTAGCAATTCTTTTTCATAAATACCGGAATCGTCAATAGTTTTCGTTATAATACCTTGAACAGATTTCAGATGAGTCATCAATGATGATAATCTTGTGATATCATTGCCTTGAGCAACTATTCGATCAGCTGTTCTTTTGAGTGTTGCACCGACACCATCTGGGGCTCCTTTTCCATGGCCACTTTCTGTATAATTCCATGTAATACTAGTCAAACTGGGAAAGTACCAATGGAGTTTACTGATGATATAAAACATTTTGCGGTTTCGGTACTGAGCCGACGGACTATCAGAAATGAAATGTAGTATACGAATATTTAGATTTTCATCTTCTATGAATTTTAAAATCGGAAGTAAATGTTCCCAAATGGCTGGTGCATCATGGCGTAAAGACTTTAATAATGTACACATCGACTGAACTTTCAGAAGTCCATTTTTACGATAGTAAATGACCACGGTGTGCAGGGTTATTTGTTGTCGGTTACCCCCAAAATGAACGGCTTGAATTTCATTACCGTATTTTGTGCTGTAATTTTCACTAAAGTCGCAGTGAATTATACACTCTTCCTCAGTGAGGTCGCTTTTAATTTTTTTAATAAACTTGTTTTGTGCGATCATAACTCCACAGTGAGTCATGTATGAAGGTAACATTTTTTCAAATTTTAAAATGGTGTCCCTGGGGAAAGTAGTCACTTTATCTTTCGTTGTGTGAATGGTTGTTTTTGTAACTCCATTCTTGTAATAAGTTTTTTTACTTTTTTTGCCAAATCCAATAAAACAATACTTCAGTGTTATTGAATTCATTATAGATTAAACTTTTATCTTTGCAGTCATCGCATTTTCTAGTTAAACATGACACATTCGAAGAGTCACAGCACAGTGATGACAAAATATCTTTGGTAGATTTTTCTTGAATTAAGTTGTTTTTTTTAAAGCAGTCACCATCAAGTCCATATTTTCATGTTCGATACAAAGACAGGTTTCTCGTTTATTTACATTAGGTTTCAGTATCCAAAACGGTCGTTTTTTGCAAAAACTAGAGTAACTAATTTTATTTTGGGGATTTGTTTGCTTAAACTTAGTATATAAGTCTTTTAAAGAATCATTAAAATAGCGTCTTTGTTGTTTATTCTTTTTTTGAGTAATGAACTCTTTCTTCCCAGAACACATACGACTGTTTTCATCTTCTTCAAGAAAAGTTTTGATGTCCTCTTCTACATTATTTTTAATTATTTTTATAGTGTCTGATTCACTTTGTTTAATATCTTCAGTATTATTTTTACTTATATGTTCATATTCTCTTAATTTAGCACTTTGATATTTTAATCTATATATCTGTTTTCGCTGTCGTTCGTTGACAGTCTTCAATTGATCAACCTTCTCTTTTCTCTTTTTTGATATATTTTGTTCATGCGGTATTTAAGTCTACGTATGATAACTTTGGTATTCAGTTTCTTGCTAGCTTTTGGAGTTGGAGGCAACTTCTTTTCAATCACACGAACTGATGATCTTGTACATGGCTTTGAAATTTTACTTACGTCACTAGACGGACGCAATGGTGCTGACGAGCCTCGATAAGCCTTAATACGCTGAGGTAAAGGAAATGAAACGACGGATGAACTTGATGGTAGCAAATCAACATAGGAACTTGCTTCAGTTTGAAGCAACTCTGATCGTATTGTTTGTGATTGTGAAGTCACCAAAGGATCGTCAGTTTTGTCGGTTACTTCTGGTACGATTATTAAATCCTCTTCAAGACACCTCATCTCTTTACGCCTTCTTTTCAAATTGTGTTTGTTGGAAGATATTCTACTTCTCTCTCTAAAAATTCGTTGTTGACGAGGATCTAATTCACTTACAGACTTTATCTTTCCTTCATTCTTCCTTTTATAATACCGTTGTCTATCTTTCTCTTTGTGCACTGCGTAAAGCTCTGGATCACTCTTAATGCGAGCTTTCCGACGTCGTTCAGACAATCTCTTTTTAGCCAACCGATCTTCTTTTGAATCTGACATAATCTCAATACTGAAACAAGATAAGGGGTGGTAAGAAAGTTAAATTTACGATCATAAAATGTAGATAAATAACGATTGATTGATTTCGGTGATTTCAAAATTAATTTCGGTGCACCTATTTCCACCGAAAACACCGAAATCAATGCCACTGAAATCAAAATAATCAACAAAATCCTAAATGTTTTCAAAAATAAACTGATTTTTTTATTTGAAATCTAATATATAAAAGACATAATTTTATTAGAATTTAAAAATATTAATTCAAATAGTTGTGGATAAAATGGATTCACGGAAATCAATTTTAGGGGTATACCAAGCCACCGAAAACGATTACGTACCTCAATAAAAGAGTGACGCGGTAACGCACAGACGCGTTGATCTTACCACCAATGCGGCGCGACTGACAGTTTGTATTACTCGAACAACTATTCTCAAAGTCACTAGAGTATGGGATATATGAACGGATTGGTGCGCGCCACTGATATCAAACATAAACGTTGGACGTGAAGACAACCAGATGTAACTTGACTACTAAGGCCTATTGTGCTTTAGTAATATTATAAATGGAATTAATAACTATCTAGTTGTTTGTGAACACATGTCAAATAGTGCCGAATATTGGAGAAAAAAAGATAAAAAATAATTGCCGCCGCAATATGGGGCCGGACGCGGCACCGAGGTCAATATTTTCGAGGTTTTTAATTTTTTTAACTAAATTATATTTAATTTATTCAAAAAAGAACATATGCCCCTCCTAATATTTTGATCGTACCTGTTATAGAAAAAAATATCAAGTTGTTAGTAATCCATTTCGTACTGGATTTCGGCCCGGACACGCCTTTTTGAGCCGTCTGAGAATGACCGAGAAAGTAAATTACATAATTTAATGTCAGAGAATAAAATCGGCATATTTCTTTTCTGTTAGAGTGTATAATTTAAATAAAGCTGTTATTGTCTTTTTATTGTATTTTGGTAGTAAAGAGAGACAGTTTAATTACAAGACGAGAGGAATTCCATTTCCGTCCCCTGTGGTGTCAACACATCTGTTACCATTACAATCTGTTAAAGTTCACTGCTGAACGTATGCCTACCCCATAGATTATCCCATAGGAAGGATATTTTAACTTTGTGGAAGACTATCCACTGACCCATATCATCCCGTAGGCGATTGTAAGAGACGACAGAGGGAAACAAGTCAGGAGATGGGCAGCAGCGTATTTCCATCGGTCCTTGAATAGTAATTAATTTTAAAAACCCGCTTGCTAAGCGTGGGAACTATAACAAATATCCGTGATGCAGCTATATTCATTGTATAGTTGTTGCACGAATGGGTCGGATCGACCGGGGGAAGGAGCACGCTCTCACAGAATACCAGCGTCAAATAGCAGCTTAATGCTGCTGTGTTTCGTATGGTGAGTGTAGAGAATCGGAGACCCTTTTTACTGGAAAAGAGGCATTCCATCTTAGTCCTCAAGGCTGACAACGCATCTTCATTTTGATTCGTAAACGAGGATAGATGTAGATGTCTATGGGCCACAGCAACCACTTACCATCAGGTGGACTGTGTGATCGCTTGTCACCCTTATTCTATAAAAAAAGATGTCTTGCACCTTTGATGCTACTGCCCTACGTTGGTTTTAGTATATTCCTTCCAGAACAAACGAGATGTTGGCCGAATTAGAAAAGACAATAAAAGACTGCAATAGAGAAATTTGTATAAATAGATAAATTCAATGGGAGGTTTTTTCTTAAGTGGACTTTGATAGTCTGTGATGATATGAGAAAATATTTTAGGTACTCAAGAAAGTATTTTCTTGGGGAATTTTTGTGCTACTACTGTATAACCGAATGCTTGGAAGGATCATGGGAGGTGGTGGGTTAATTAACCCATTTATCGAAAGCCATAAAATTATCTGGAATTACCCATGTTTAATATGTTTCTTACGATATCTAAGGGAGGAAATGGGGTGATGGATTCTCTTAAATCCTTTACAAGAGTAAAGCTTGTTTTCTTACATAACAACTTTTTTTTTCAAAAACATGTACATGGCTCTGTTTTTTTATTATTATAGGTAATGTCCTTACCAGATGTTGACATCGGCATCGACATCGCTCACATTCAGCTCTAAAGGTGCCGTAAACCAGGACAAATTTATTAAAGCTTATACCTATGTCAATTTTAAATTTAAGCTTAAGCTTATCCTATAAAAAATTCCTTATAACATTCTATGGGTTAGACCTATGTTCTGCATTGGACTTCAGGCTATTACGGTTTTTTACAACACTTTATATCTCAAAAGTCATTTCGTGTTGTATTATTTTTTAATAAAAATCCGAAATTCCCCGCTGCTCATTCAGAAGTTCATTCGAAGTTTGGAAAAGTGCCAAAAGTCATAAAACGATGACGAGTGATAAAGTAAAGGGCGAAACTTGTAAAGAGTTTGACAATCCAATATCTCAAAAGAGTAAAGTGCATCCATTTTAGGAACCATTGTTATCTAATAATAAAACATAAATTTTTAAAATAATAAATCAAACTTCATACAAAAATAATAAAATAATTTCACATTCTTAAGTTGGTGTTAAAGCAAAGAAGATTTAGCCCGTTATTCACATGTTTGGATCTATTGAAATCAAGTTACATGTTACAGTTGATTTTATGATTATATCAATTTTACGTGGAATAGGTAAGCTACAGCTATAAATTATGTTCGTAAAATGAATGGCTCGGCTAGAGCGGGAAAGGAACATGCTTTTACGAATACTAGTGTGAAATAGCACCTTATTTCTATTATGTTTCGTACGGTGAGTGTAGAGAACCGGATACCTTTTTTACTTGGAACGAGATATTCCATCTTGTTCTCAGGGATGAATACGCATTTGCATTATGATTCTTAAGGTTTGATTGATGTCTATGGATTACAGCACCACTAACTTTGAGGACTGTGTGCTCGTTGGTTACCCTTATTCTATGAAAAAAAATTACGTTTATTTTATAACACATCTCAGTTCATTATTTTCTACTTTCAACGTCTCTGAACATCTCGTTCCTCCCAAGACAGCGATATATTTTTAGAAACTGTTCTTTTAGCGTTGGTGCCAGATAACAAAATATGGCTGCTTCTATTTTATTAATACAATTTCAAAAATGAACTATGCCCAAGAAAGTATACATTACAATTTTTATGTTGAAAAAAGTAAAAATTACAGCCTATTTATGTCCCACTGCTGGGCACAGGCCCCCTCTCATTTCTTAGAGGGTTTTAGGGCCAGGAAGTGTCATCCACGACGACCCATTGCATGTTGACGAATTTCAGAAAGTCTTAAAAATATTTATTTCTTATTTCTCAGACATACAGGTTTCCTCACGATATTTTACTTCACCGCCGAGCACGTAGTAAATCAGCATTTAAAAATCGAAATTTACAGCGATCGATAACCATCTGAGCTACCTCGGCTCTTATATTATATTTACTTCATTATTACTACTATCATTGATTTATCATCATTACTTGATCACTTTGGATTTATATTAAACTAGTAAATACGGATTTCATAACGCCTATTACATCTCTTCTTAGTCTCTTCGTATTTTCTTGACGAAGTATCTATGCAAATCCAACTAGTGAAGGCAAAGACAGGTTATCGGACTTGCACCAGCGGATACGCATTGCTATTTCTTGGAAGAGAATACTCATTTATCTCACTACATTTTAAAATCAAATCCAAAATATAATAGAAAAAAATATGAAAAAAAATTTTCATGCAAAATTGTGACCGGGATAATGCTAGCCTATGTTACTCTTTACAAACTTCTTGAAACAAGCCCTCTGAATACAATGTACACCTTATTTATTTTGCAATGTTCTTAATTCAAATCCAGCGTATTTCCATCGGTACTTGAATAGTAATTAATTTTAAAAACCCGCTTGCTAAGCGTGGGAACTATAACAAATATCCGTGATGCAGCTATATTCATTGTATAGTTGTTGCACGAATGGGTCGGATCGACCGGGGAAGGACCACGCTCTCACAGAATACCAGCGTCAAATAGCAGCTTAATGCTGCTGTGTTTCGTATGGTGAGTGTAGAGAATCGGAGACCCTTTTTACTGGAAAAGAGGCATTCCATCTTAGTCCTCAAGGCTGACAACGCATCTTCATTTTGATTCGTAAACGAGGATAGATGTAGATGTCTATGGGCCACAGCAACCACTTACCATCAGGTGGACTGTGTGCTCGCTTGTCACCCTTATTCTATAAAAAAAGATGTCTTGCACCTTTGATGCTACTGCCCTACGTTGGTTTTAGTATATTCCTTCTAGAGCAAACGAGATGTTGGCCGAATTAGAAAAGACAATAAAAGACTGCAATAGAGAAATTTTTATAAATAGATAAATTCAATGGGAGGTTTTTTCTTAAGTGGACTTTGATAGTCTGTGATGATATGAGAAAATGTTTTAGGTACTCAAGAAAGTATTTTCTTGGGGAATTTTTGTGCTACTACTGTATAACCGAATGCTTGGAAGGATCATGGGAGGTGGTGGGTTAATTATCCCATTTATCAAAAGCCATAAAATTATCTGGAGTTACCCATGTTTAATATGTTTCTTACGATATCTAAGGAAGAAAATGGGGTGATGGATTCTCTTAAATCCTTTACAAGAGCAAAGCTTGTTTTCTTACATAACAACTTTTTTTCAAAACTACAAAACATGTACATGGCTCTGTCTTTTATTATTATAGGTAATGTCCTTACCAGATGTTGACATCGGCATCGACATCGCTCACATTCAGCTCTAAAGGTGCCGTAAACCAGGACAAATTTATTAAAGCTTATACCTATGTCAATTTTAAATTTAAGCTTAAGCTTATCCTATAAAAAATTCCTTATAACATTCTATGGGTTAGACCTATGTTCTGCATTGGACTTCAGGCTATTACGGTTTTTTACAATACTTTATATCTCAAAAGTCATTTCGTGTTGTATTATTTTTTAAT